TGTGTATTTAATCGACAAAAAGTATGTTGGGATACAGTAGCCCATGATGAGTGTAAAATAATTTTCTTAATCATCGATTCTATTTTATATATGAATCAATAATCTTCTATATACTGTATAAAAGAAAAAGACGGTTGATTAATAAAATTGAATAGAAATTAATATTAACTTAAGTGACTTGTATATTGTGAGTTAATACAAATGTAAAGTAAAGTTTGTAGATTATGCTAAAAAATATAAATTGACATTAATTTTATATATACATGGTCATTAAATATTTAATTAATTACTACCACTAAAACCATTAAAAATAAATAAACTTGAAATTATTTTGATTTTTGAAAAGTGGGATATATGTCAAAATTATAGTTGCCACATGGCAACCTCTCATAGTTTTGGTTTTGTAGAACCTTAAAATATTTATATAAGATATGTTATTTGATGAAAAAATGAAGATTTAGTGGAATAACATACATGTTTTCTTTTGTGGGATCAAATATTTTATGAAATTTTATGATTTAAAGATAAAAGTGTTAAGTAGGTTTTTTCATAATTTTATTACACATAATAAAACATGAATGTATTGTTGTTAAAAACTAGATGTTTAATAAAAAAAAATATTTAAATGAAATGTTAGTAGTGTTTTTGCATCGACCCCAACAATCTCAGATCCGGCTTTGTTTTAGCTCAGTGTAATTTTATTGAAAAAATAATTATTGCAGATACTGAACTTTTCGGGGTAAATATCTCCGGCAAGTCAAGATGTAAAAATTCCATTATTATGCTATGTTCTCTTCTCGGTGACAAACTTTTGCTCCGGCTTCTCCTCCTCATGCCTAGTACGTCTCTCTCTTCTCCTTATATGGCTTTTATCCCTCTCATCCCTCTCTCTACTCAGATAACGACATTCATTACATAGCCTTTCCTCTTTCTACTCAGATAAAGACGTCGTCTCTCTGAACATTCACAACGAGCTTCCGAGGTTCCACAAGAAGCAGAAACAGTATTGTCAACAACTTGTGAGCTTCCACTTAGGTCCATAGGCTTTATAAATTAGTTTCTCTAATAATATAATAGATTAATGCTAATTTCGCTCCATCTTACGGTTTACATTTGTTTATTTCGATATATAAAAGACCTTCAAATCACTAGCAAGTGTCGTATCCAATTTTTCGGTTGTCACCAAATTTTTATTACATTTTGATGACCTCTTCCTTTTGGTAGGTGATAAGTTACAGATAGTATTAAGAGTGATAGTAGTAAAAGTAAAGCAGAAAAATCTTATGAAAGATAAAGGAGCTTATATCATATGACAAAATTATACTATATTGAGTTCTCATCCTTGATATAATATTATGTTGTTCGAGAGAGAGAACTCATGAAAACTTAAACATCAAAACAACTTTAGAACCTAACCAAACCCAAAACAGTCACGGTTTAGCTGCAAGCCGCCAAATCTTGACCATCCCATCATCACTGGCCGATGCAAGAAACCGGTTCTCCTCCTGTTACAGGTTACAACCGCAAGCTCTAAATTACAGAAGATTCTATGCGACATAAATTTCTGGTAAGACTTAAGCCATCAACCGACTCGAAGATGTGTTTGTAATGTACTAGAACCAAAGTAAGTCAAGCAATCAATATCATCATCTGTCTGATCCTATAAGAAAGCTTCTCAGGTATTCTGTTCTAACTTCTAAGCCATGTTAATACGATACCAATATATAGACCTACTTTGCATCGATAAATTAAGTATGAAGAAGTATGGATATATGTAAATTACTTCACAAGAATGATGGAACTTACACCAGGTGACCATTGGACAGAGTTTACATCCATTTCATGTGCTTTTTCCTTCTTCAGCAAAAGACTATATGAAGGTTCATCAACCTGGCACAAAGACAAACACACTTAAATTCAAAGAAGAAGAAGAAATGTACAGTGGAAAATCATTGGCCACAGTCGAAAGCCTGCAACCTGCATTTGGTTTCGTGTGCTGTGCTATGTAAGTTGGACGTATATTATATATATGGAAGCCAAATTCATGTCAAGAACTTTCCACATTGAGATAAAAAAGGGATTTCTGTTTTGAAGTGTAACATAAGATGAAAATATCTTACAGAGTCATGTTTGCTGTCCACAAACAACCGTATACCATCATCGCCTGCTCCACTGGCAATAATGTCATCCCTGTCAAGGTATTCGAAACAAAGAATTTTCCTTTTAGGCTGGCGGAGTTGATTACTAGGAATTTAGGAGAGTTACACCTTGTTTTAAAGGAATCATGTGAGGTGTCAATAATACCTTGACCAGTGAGCTGAGTATATGGTACGGTTATGATAACCAGAGAGTGTACAAAGATGAGTCCTGCAAAAGTAGGCATTCCATTAGTAGATGTTGAATGGAGAGTTCCTGGAGAAGCTACAGTTTTTACAGGCTGCATATTATGTCAAGCTCTGAACTCCAAGAAAAAGAACAAACTTGATTACGTGTATGCCATTATATTCTCACCAAGGTGCATATCCTTCACCAGACAGCATCCCGACAATATCTGCCCCCCATATCTTCAAGGTTAGATCATCACTACAAGTTCAAATTCAGGCAAGCCTGATATTGTCAGAACAATAAAATAGAGACAGACGGATTCGCTTTGGAACACCTATGGGTAAAAAGGGGAGAAGATTCACCAACCTACAAGTGACCATCTTGTCCCCTGCAGCGTTAAACGAAATGCCCCAAACAGTAGAGGAATGACCGCTGTGTGAAGAATAAAGGCACATAAAAATCTACTACTAAGAAAAGTAAGCCTATATAGAAAGAAAAATTGGAAGGTGCGTGTTTAAAGAAGAACAGGCAAGTAGAGGATATACTTGTTAGATTCACCTAAGGTTTGTACACATTGATAATCACCATCATCATCTTCAGACCACCAAACCTGTAAGTAGCATGCAATGAACGTCATTAAACTAAAGTTTTTGATCTGTAACGTATTTCAGGTTCCGCATTACTAGACACAATCATAGTATTCTCATTACCTTGATGGTGTTATCATAACCGCAAGAAAATAAAACATCCATGGTGGGATGCCACTGAACCATCTTTACATCTTGTGTATGCCCACTTAACACAGAAGCACAGTCAAATTCATTCTCTGGAAGCACGTCCCAAATCCAGACAGACTTGTCTCTACTACAGGTTGCAAGCATTGTACCAGATGCATTCCATGATACACTTTTGACTTCGTTTTCATGTCCCTGCACAATTTGTCCATAAGATTCTACAAGCCAAAAGAGCGTAATACAAAGCACGAGAGACTGTACAATGAAAACAGACCAAAAGCTTTGAGCTTGATGCATATTGACTTATGAAGTGAAGACTGAAAAATCTATGAGACTAGAATCTAACATTTAGAAGTCAAGGATTGGGCTAGAAAGTACCTCCAAGGTCGAAACACACTCGAACTCAGACCCGGAATTCTTCCAAATACCAGTGCTACCGTCAAAACTTGCAGTGGCTAATAAATCTCCTGAAGGTGACCAGGCACACGACCTCACAGTTCTAGTGTGTGTTTCTTCCAAAACTGCCTAAGCAATGACAATATCTCATATAAATCAACAGAGTTTCTTGGGGTTAAAGCACAAGAACTAACACCAAATCCAATTCACCACCACTCGTAAGCCCTAAGGGAATCGGAACAAAACCCACAAATTGTTTAACCTAGAAAAAGCAATAGATGTAGAAAAGGAACAAAGAGAGATGGAGAGACCTTGCAGGACCAGGAGCGAGAGAGCAAGCTCTGTTCCCAGATTCGTACGGTGCTATCGCCACTGCACGAAGCAAGAACCGGTAAAGTACCATCGGCGTGAGAGGAGACTGGGTTCCAAGCTACGCTCCAAACCCGATCGGTGTGGCCTTCAAGTTTCTGAACCTCGACTAGCTCGACGTTCTTCTCCATCAAATCCATATGCTCTCTTCTCTCAATCTGATCAATTTCTCACAAACAATACTTGAGTCCTATGAGCACGATCTATGTTCATTGAAGAAGATGATCACGTGTCTATACACGTGAGTAAGTCTCTAATGGGCTTTCGAACACTTTTGTTAATGGGCCCAATATACGTTTATTTTGATTTTTAACAAAAGTTTATTCAATAAAAAAACAATTCGGATATA